GGTTTACCTATAGTCTCCATTGTAGTTCCTTTTTTTGGTTGAACCAATTATATATTAAGGATTCTATAAGGTATCACCAAAAAGGAACTACAATGGAGACTATAGGTAGTGTGTAGAATTTATAAGGCTTTTAAGGTTTAAGGTTCAGGGCTTATAAGGTTTATAAGGTTTAGGGTTTAGGGTTTAGGGTTTAGGGTTTAGGGTTTAGGGTTTATAGGGTTTGAGGTTTAGTGTTTATAAGGTTTATAAGGTTGGGCCTTGAGGTTTAGGGTTTAGGGTTTAGGCTTTGAGGTTTAGGGTGTAGGGTTTAGGGCTTAGGGTTTAGGGTTTCAGGTTTATGGTTTAGGGGTTGCACAGGAGACCAGAGGATATTATGGGGATCTTTTAAGGGGCTCGTTTCTGCTATTCCTTTGGCAGAGTTCCTATAACGTTGGGGTGCGGGTTTTTGAGGGTTTGGGGTTTGGAGTTGTATATTCGGAGCCAGGGGCCTGGTCTTTTGGTTTTGGTTGGCTTCGGAATGTTGAGGCTTTCGAGCTCAGGATTTCGGATGTTTGGCCTAGCCCTAAACCCTAAACCCTAAACCGGTTTAGGGTTTAGGGTTTAGGGTTTGAACAGGTGTGGTTCTGTTTAGGGTTTGGCGCTACGGCCTAGCCTAGCCGCTAGGGGTACTGGAGCCGGGGGTTAGGATTTTAAGGCTCACCCTAACCCTCCAGGTACCTAATATATAGGGTCTTAGGGGCTCTAGTACCCTATATAGTAGGTGCCTGGGGGGTTAGGGTCAGGACTTCCATGCTTATTCGTTGGGGTTTAGGTTTAAAGAAGGTTCCAGTGTCAGTCTGAGTATGAAGCGGATGGCTGTTATTTCACATTTCTGTTGCGTTCATGGTTGTTGTGACTGTCAGTCTTACCACCTTCATCAGCATGCTCAGGCGGAGTCGCTCTGGTTGTTGTTGAAGCTGCCATACCAGCATTGCCATTCTGATTGTCAAGACTTCTTGTCGCGAGTCTTGCTATACCGTCCGGGTCTGGTGCTGAGATTCGGATGCGGATTGGTTTGCGATTGGTAGTTGTTGGCTGGCACTGCTCCTTTACACAAACGTAAGGGGTTTGGCTGGCTGCAGAAAAACGCTTAAACCCTAAACCCCTAAATCCTAAACCCCCCTAAACCCTAAACCGCCAAAGAACAACATTAAAGCTGAAAGTCCTATAGCGTCAAGACAGAGAGCGCGGGAAGGCTCTCGGAGCCCTTAGGGTTTAGGGTTTAGGGCTGCAGCAATGGTCAGAGTACCCCCTAAACGAAAGGCCAATTTTTTTGAAGCCTACCTATAGTCTCCATTGTAGTTCCTTGGTTTGGGTCTAATCAATTATATATATATATATATTTATTTATATATAGTAAAGATTTTATAAGGTATCCCCAACAAGGAACTACAATGGAGACTATAGGTAAACTCAGGTGCATGCCACGGATGCCAACAACTGGGTGCTCTACGCCGTGCAGCGGGGCTCTTGGATGTCGGAGACCTTCCCTAAACCCTACACCCTAAACCCTACACCCTAAACTTTACACCTTACTTCCTAAACCCTACACCCTAAAGCCCAAACCCTAATCACACCCTAAAACCTAAACCGTAATTACACCCTAAACCCTACACCCTAAACCCTTACTCCAGCCCCCCGGATCCTTAGGCTCTACTTAATAAGGGGTAGTTGGAGGATTTAGGGTTCAGAGTTTCGGGTAGAGGGTTTAGAGCTTAGGGTTAAGGTTTTAGACGGTTTAGAGGTTTAGAGGGTACCTGGACCCCGAAGAACCTCCCTTTTTAGGGTTCCTTATGATTTCTTTACATAAGTCCTTCAAAAGGTAGGTTATTTGGAGTCAAGGCAGGGTTCAGGATGCTGGCATGGATAGGGATTCTGGGGTTCAGGGGTGCTCCGAAAGGGGCTCGAAAGGACTGCAGGGGGCCTCTGGGGTCTGCAGGGGTCGTTTTATCGGGCCTTTCAAGGGTATAGGGTTTAGGGGCTCTTTTTAAAGGGCTTTTTAAGGATTTAGGGTTTAGGGTGTAGGGGTTTAGGGTTTAGGAGTTTAGGGTTTAGGGGGTTTGCAGGGTTCTTTTAATATGGCCTTTCAAAGGTGTTATGGGGTCATGGAGGGGGTTGTCCTGTTTGGAGGTCTTCTTCTTAGAAAGGGTAGACGCGTCGGCTACGTTACCTTCTAAAAAAGGGATCCCAACTGAAGGCCCTGAACATCAAACCCCAAAAAGACACTGAACGCTAAACCCTAACCTTAAACCCCATAAGGCCCCAAAAAGACACTAAACCCTAAACCCAAACCTTAAACCCCAATAAGACACTAATCCCTAAACCCTTAGCTAACCTTAAACCCCAAAAAGACACTAAACCCTAAACTCTAACCTTAAACCCCAAAAAGACACTAATCCCTAAACCCTAACCTTAAACCCAAAAAGACAGTAATCCCTAAACCCTAACCTTAAACCCCAACCCCTAAACCCTAACCTTAAACTCCAAAAAACACTAAACCTTAAACCCTAACCTCAAACCCCAAAACGACACTAATCCCTAAACCCTAACCTCAAACCCCAAAAAGACACCAACCCCTAAACCCAAACCTTAAACCCCAAAAAGAAACCCGGGCCAGAGTAAAAGTTCAAGTCCAGAAAACATGCCTAGGGTAAAGGGCCATTGGTTTAGGGTTTAGGGTTTAGGGTTTAGGGTTTAGGCCATGCTGCTTTGCGCCCTAAACCTTAGCCACAGGGTTGGGGTCGTAGGGTTCAGGGTGCAGGGCTTTAGGGCTTAGGGCTTCATAGAGTTCAGGGTTCTGGGCTTAGGATGTCGGGTTTGCGCGCTGGCATTTAAAGTTTAGAAGGATACTGCTACTGCTACTATTGCTGCAACGATTACTACTTCTTCTTCTTTGTCATTGGTACGATTGCTACTGGTACAACTACTGCTGCTGCTACCTCTGCCGTACTATTACCAGTTCAGGGTTCGGCCGAACAGCTGATCATTGCTGAACAAGTTGTGAATGTTACCTATAAGCCCTGAAAACCCTAAACCCTAAACCCTATGTAACACCTTAGACACCTTTTTGCCCATCTCGGCCACCACAAGCAGTTCGGCAGTTACCCAGTCAGCACTGCTAGCATGGCGACACTCGTCGTGACAGCAACGATAAGTTAACGATGAAGTTAGTATGTGATAGTATATGCTCGTATATTGTACAATATTTCCGTATGTCAGAAACTCTGCCGGTGTCGTTGCGAAGACCTAGGACGAGCTGCGACGCTATTATGTCGACGTCGATGGCGCAAAGTTGCTATCATCGTTTACGTGCTAAGGACAGCTTCTTGTCTGTGTCGCGGCTGCTGATGTACACGATAATGATTATGGTGCTGATCATGATGATGCTGTGATGGCGATGAGGATGATGGCTTGTGGCGATGACAAATATAGATCGGTATGGTCGCAGCCACAGCTTAATCATGGCATAATATATAGGGGCCTTCATAAATAGAATAGGGTTGTGGGGGCTCGCTATACCCCTAAACCATATTCTAATTATGAAGGCCCCTATAGTATGCATATTCAAGAAGTTTAGTGGCAATGATCTTGGTGGACAACTGAAAGTATAGTAGGAGTCTGCGGCGTCAAATCATGACCGTCGTCTTCATCGTCTTTGTTGCCTTTGAAAACACCATCTTCATCAAAGTCACGCAACAACTAGCATCATATACCCCCAAAGGGTCTAATTGTATGTATTAAGGCCGATTTATAAACCCCTACGAAACCCTTGTAGGACAGTACACTAAAAACCCTAAATCCTTGTAGAATGGTACCCTAAACCCTCAACCCTTGCAAACTAGTACCCCAGACCCTAAACCCTTGTAAAATAGTACAAACCCAATAGAAGCCCTGTGGCTGAGGGCCTGAAACCTGCCGCGGCATTCAAGCCTGCAAGCTCCAAATCCATCGTTGTTTGCACCCGAAACTTTTAATATCAATATATGTAGATAGACAGATGGATAGATGGATAGATAGATAGTAGAGTCGGACGGTTCAGGATGTGTAGCTGTTCGACTCTTGCTGGGGAAAGGTACAATGCTGTCAGAGCCAGTTCGTTCCTAAATGCCTACAGATTTTCCTTATGCAGAATACCTATACTCCTTGAAGGTAGGAAGATCCATATCCTATGCTTGAGGCTTTGAGGGATAATGCATATCCACATGGGTGGTTGTCAAAATTATGGTCCCTTTTTGGGTCCTTATTATAATACGGCACCTAATATTTAAGGTACCCCAAAAGGGACCCTAATTTTGACAATTACCCATAGAGTTATATATATATATATATGTATATATACGCACAGCTTTCGGGCCAACACAGCCGCTACACTGGTACTGAGACCCTTGGTGCCATGGCTCTCTTCGGGAGGGGCCTTTCCATTTTCTGTCTATGTGGATTTCACGTTGTCGCCGTTCGCTTCGGCGCTTCGGCATCTGCTGAAAAGGCCGAGGGCCCAATTTCTAGAAGGCTTTTAAAAGGCTTCTATAAGGGCCTTTATAGGTTTTGTGGGCCTAGCGAAAAGTCAGGGGACGTAGTAAGTAGGATCGTAATTAGACCTAACTTTGGTTATAACTCCAGTTGCTGCACGTATAACCTGCTTACTACCTCCCTGATCCTTTAAGGGGAGCAATTCGGCAAACTCTGCATGCGAGAAGAAGCTGCAAATGCTCGAAGACGAGCTGCTTTGTGGCATTGTGGGATACTTGCTAAGTTTTTGCTAACGTCCTTCTACCTTTGCACCTCAAGTAGGTTCCTGAACTAGAACCCAGTAGAGTATAGAGGTATTGCTCTGCGATTGTTGTTAAATGCCCTTAAACTGCAATCGCAGGCTGTTGCGGTTTTGCCAATCGGCACAGGAGGGCTTAGAGAACGGCGAATACGAGTGGCTCACGCACGTCAGAGGTGTGAATGCCACAACGATGGCCCGCAGAGTCATGCATGCCCTGAGATGGGGAAGGCGAGACGCATCACATGGACTGCTCTTCACCAAGAAGGCCTTCTACGAGCAGAATTCCACCTTACTTTTGTGGAGCGGGGTTCCTGCTTCATCGCGGGAGAAGTGGTGCACATCCTTGAATGCGTACATGTCGCCTGACCGATGGAACTGTCTTGTAGCACTTCAAACCGCACTGCATGACTTACAGTGAATTGAGCGTTTAAGTACTACGTAGTCATGCCATGCCTGCATCTCAGTTCAGCTTCCCCCATTGATTTGAGGTTGGAATCCGGTGACAATGACGCTATCCAGACACCCTTCGGCAGCATTTTGGAGAGGATCAGGAGCAAGGACTCTGATGAACAGCTCTTGCAAGGGTGCGCGTGGTCTGAGCAGGAACCCATCTGGCAAGCAGCGTCAGATGCCGTTGTCTGGCGAAGTGGAGATTCTTTGGTGCGCTTCTTAGTTCTCCAATACTGAACCTTCAATCTTTTTGGGGCTCTTATAGTTTAGTAGTCATCTGAAAGTTTAATTTTTGTTCCTGGCTTATTGGGGAAGTAAGGCTTTCTGGTGAACAAACCCTTGAGCGGTCATGGAACTTTGCGGGAGAGCACCTTCTTCCGCGCCGAGCTCCCCACGCTCGCTAGGTATCCGCCCACTGAGGGCCTTCGGGTGCTCAACGAACACCCTGTCGTCAAGTGCCACCACCTCATGCCTGTTATTCGAAACAAAATTGAAAGTAACGGGCTTCTAGATGACTGGCGCAAGGTGAGGACCTTCTCGTGTGTAGACGTTTTGACCTTCCAGCAGTCATCCATGAACCTCACAGAATCGGGGCGAAAGCTTCTGGACAGCAAGGCGACTGAGTTTCTGAAGCCAGGGGAGCAGTTGGAGTCGGAGTGTGACATGAAGTTCTCTACCTTGGAAGGATATAAGAGCTGCCGTGACAGGGGCCAGATCGACTTCGGGATCTTTCAGAGGATAGCGCGTCAACTTCCACCTGAGTACGCACCGGAAATAACAAGCTTAAGGCTTCCCCAGCTGTCGAAGAAACTCAAGCAGCTCCCGCTAATGCTGCCGGACATTCTGGAGATGTTCGACTCCTCCATATCCCTAGAGCTGTGCCTTTGGAAGTCTCTTGAAACGGCGCAAGCGCAACACTCAACAGTTTGGTTTACGAGGTGGGGGTTGTTCGGTTGTTCAAAATTGCAGGCCCTTTCGGGGTCTGTTTCATTGTATACTCCTAAACCCTGAACCCTAAGCACTAAACCCTACTTCTTATAGTTCTGGGGACCAGAAGGGGCCCATAATTTTGAACCCCCAGGTCTCTACAGAAGGACTTTCTTCCGAGAGACCTCGAGGCTGCATGCCGAAAGGGAGCGGCAAAGTTGCTGCCAGGGCTCCTGAAGGCTTCTTAGCTCTCCAAGACTGAACCTTTAAGCTTTTTTCGGCTCTTCTAGTTTTGTAGTAGCCTGAAAGTTTAACCTTCCATTTTCCTGGCTTATTGGGGGAAGTAAGGCTTTAGATGACTCTCGGCCGCCTGTGCGCCAAGCTGCAGCTGAAGTCTTGGGGTTCATCGGCAACGGCAACGGGGCAGAACTCGCTGTCCCGAAGCTACAGGCTCTAGTCAAGAACTTCTCTTCTGATGAGCATGTCCAAATACAAGCAGCTAAAGCATTGGGCTCTATTCGGAGAGAGGCGACCGAAGAAGTGTTGCCGGAGCTCGTGAAGGCTTTGCACGACTCTGATGATGCTGTCCGCGGCCGTGCCGCTGAAGCACTGGGCTTTTTGGGCAAAGAGGCATCAGGAGCCGTGCCAGAGCTGTTGAAGGCCATGCGAAATTCCACTTGGGCACTATCCAAAGCCTCTCATGCATTGGGGTCTATCGGCAAAGAAGCAAAGGAAGTCGTGCTGCCCCAGCTCCTGGACGCTTTGGACGACTCTGATACCTCCGTCCGCAAAGGCGCCGTATCAGCATTGGGGGATATGGGCGAAGAGGCAAAGGAAGGGGCGCCCAAGCTGATGAAGGCCTTGCATGACTCTGATGGTACTGTTCGCATTTATGCCGCTGGCGCACTAGAAAAGCTGGGTACGGAGGCGTTGGGGAAGCTCGCAAAGAACGTGCACCACTATGAACCTTGGGTCCGCGAACATGCCCTTCGAGCATTGACGTCCATCGGCAAAGAGGCTAAAGAAGCCGTGCCGGAGCTAGTTGATGCATTGGACGACCCTCATTTTGAGGTCCGCGCATCTGCCGCACAACTGCTCGGGTCCATGGGCAACGTAGTAGCAAGCATGGCAACCTTTGGCCTTTCGGGGTTCACATAACTCAGGGTTTAAGGTTTAGGGTTTAGGGTTTAGTGTTTAGGGTTTAGGGGTTCACATAACTCTACCATGTTTGAAACGCTAAGTTTTTTGGAGCCGGGGTCTTCGGCCCCGAATAAGGTAAAGAGGCAGTCGAAGCCGTACCGAGACTCGGAAAAGCTTTAGTGGCTGACCGTCATTATTACGTCAAGAATGTCGCCGCCTTTGCATTGAGCCAAATCGGCAAGGAGGCAAAGGAAGTTGTACTGCCGGAGTTCCGGAAGGCCTGTGGCGATTCTGATAATTGGGTCAGAATCTTTTCTTGCAATGCAATGAGGTTCATGGGCAAACAGGCAAAGGATGCCGTACCGGATCTCGCGAAGATGCTGGAGGACTCTGAAGTGGATGTGCGCAAAGCTGCCGCTAAAGCATTGCGGTCCCTTGGCATGGAGGCAACAGAAGCCGTCCCGAATCTTTTGAAGGCTTTGGTCGATTCTGATGCTTCTGTCCAAGCACTGGCCGCTCTGGCACTGGGGCGCATGGGCCACTTCACAGAAGCCAAGGAATCCCTGTTGCGGGAACTCCGGAATAGCTTGCAGGACACGGATGAAGAAGTCCGCAAACGTGCTGCTCTGGCAGTGTGGGAAGTAGCCAAAGAAGGGCCGGAAGAGGGAACGTTGACTGAAGCAGTGCCGGAGCTCACGAAGGCATTGCAAGACTCTGATTCTTCTGTCCGCTTCTATGCCGCCAAAGCCTTGGCGCTCATGGGCCAAGAGTTGGACGAAGCCGTGCCAGAGCTCCTGCAGGAGTTGGACGACCCGCAGGCTGAAATCCGTATCCATGCCGCTGAAGCAATTGGCTCCATTGGCAAAGAGGCCTTTGTCCTCCAATACCCAACCTTTCAACTTTTGCGGTTCTTATAACTTAGTAGTATATCTTTGAAAGTGTAACCGTTCATTTCCCTGGCCTATTGGGAAGTAAGAGGCAGATGAAGTTCTGCACCAGCTCCAGAAAGCAGCTGCGGGCGATCCTGATTCCAATGTGCGTGGAGCTGCCCTTTCAGCCTTGAGAGCGCTCAGGGGAAAGGTGCTAACTTCGACGTCACCTGGCTAACTGCCTTGTCCATGCGGTCTGCCATCATACGGCATGTCAAAAACCGATTGCAACGGCGGAGACAGTGCATGCACCCGATGATGATGATGACCGTGACCATGATGACGACAATGACGATGATGATGATGCTGATGGTGGTGATGATGATGGTGATGATGATGAGGAAGATGATGATGATGATGATGATGATGATTGTCAGCCAGGCCATCACTTTTGCTCCTGCTTGTGCTTTGCACTGTGCTCGCGACACGAGGCCGGACTACCTGAGCGTTGTTCTTCTCTTTCCTAGAAGGGTTTATGGTTTAGTGCTTTATGTGGGTTCAGGGCTTGCTTACGATAGGGTTTGGGGTTTTAGGGTTTACGGTTCAGGGCCCCTTAAGGCCGCGTAAGGGCTCTATGATGGGCAGGGTGTCCTAATCGTCGGGCAGGTCTGCTTTCATCTTATTTTGGTAGTAGAATGTAAACCATATGTAGACGCCCGAATCCTTTCTTTGAGGGCCTTTCTATATATGGATCCCCATTATAATCCCATTTAGTGGGTTTGTTAGTTTGACCTTTAGTTGCCCTGGGAAATGGACAAGTAAGTGTGTGTGTGTGTGTGTGTGTATATGTGTATGTGTGTGTGTGTGTGCGGGTGTGTGTGTGTGTGCGCGCGTGTTTGTGTGTGTGTGTGTTGTGTGTGTATATATGTGTGTGTGTGTGTGTGTGTGTCTTTTCCGAGAGATGATTTGGATTCAGGGTACTTGTGCGAGTTTGATGCGATATAGGGGGCGTGAATATTTTCCTTTATTGTTCTTCAGGGTTCACTATAGAGGTAAAAATAGTAGTATCCTCAAAAGCCCTGCTCCATGTTTTAAGGCCCCTATCTATGAGGATCTCTATTGTAATTGCAAGAAGCTCTGCTCGAGTCAGTCTCCCAGCAGTTGGGTTTGGAATTAGTAGCGTTCCTCCCTTGTCAGCTCAACATCCTGTGCCCCGAGCCCGAACGATTCAGGGCCGAGGGCGTAGCATTTCGGGTAACCCGCCCAACCTCAACACCTAAACCAACAAAAAGGCAGTTAAGCTGGGGGCCCTGTATGCTTAGTGTGTGTATGGTTTCTGATGGGACCTGAATAGTTTCTTAAACCTATTTCGGTGAAGATTCATTGTATTTATAGTATAAAGAGCCCAATACCCTATTCTAGGTATTGCGGCCCCTATGTTAGTATACCCTTAGAGTCTCCCGTATCAGTGGAATATGGTATACTTCAAAACCCCTTGAAATACTCAAAGCCCTTATATCAAAGCCCACAAACCCTCTATAGAACCCTTCAAAGGAACCCTTAAAGGAACCCTATTCTAGCCAATGTGGCCCTCCCTTTAATCTCAATTGTAGTTCCTTTTTATGTTTAGGGTCCTATAAGGTATCCTCAAAAAGGAACTAAATCCTAATCCCAGAACCCCAAACCCTAGACCCGAACTCCTGAACCCTAGACCCTAAACACAAAATTCTAAACCTTCAACCCTAAACCCTAAATCCTAAACCCTAACGCCTCAATTCTAAATCCTAGACCCCAAGCCCTAAACCCTAAACACTATATAGACCCCAAACCCAAATCCTAAACCCTATATAGACCCCAGCCCCTAAATTCTAAATCCTCAAAACCCTAGCAGAATGCCAGGGACCGTGATCGATGACAGCGACTCGGATGGTCCGTGCAGGGCCTCAGTCACGGGTCATTCTCCAATATAGGGGCCTTCAGGGTTTAGGTTTCAGGGTTTTGGGTTTGGGGTTTGCGTTTTAGGGTTTCGGTTTTAGGGTTTAGGTTGTAGGGTTTAGGTTTTAGGGTTTTGGGTTTGGGGTTCAGAGGTTTTTAGGGGCTTGAGTACGTATCAATATTATGTTTTGGGGATTCCTTATTATAAGTAGAGTATTATGGACCGCAAAACCCTATTCAAATTATTAAGGCCCCTATATTAGCTGCTTTGTGGTCACAGGAAATAAGGGCTTAGGATGTAGGATTTAGCCTTTAGGATTTTAGGATCAAGGGTTTAGGATACGGAGTTTAGGGTCTGATGTAGGGTTTAGGATGTAGGATTTAGGACTTGGGCTTTGTAGGGGGTTTAGGATACAGGAAGGGCCGTTCAGCGTTTCAGGTTCTGGATACAGGGCTTGGGGTCTATGGTTTAGGAAAGGGGCCCAAGGTTTATTTTCACGCTTTAGGCATCTAACCAATGTTATCTACGTAGTGTGCATTCTTCGGCCAAGATGCAATAAGTGTTCGTGTAGGGTCAGAATGGCTACTAAAGGAGTCCGTGCCGAAGCGCTGGAAAGCGTCGGGAATCCGAATATCCCGGCTTTAAAGAGTAGCCCTACCTTAACCCCAAATAACCTATTTTTTGGAGGACTTATATCAAGAAATCATACTAAAGAACCCTAAAAAGGTAGGTTCTCTAGGGTCCAGGTAAACCCTAAATCCTGGGAAGTTCTACAACTCTTAGGTCCCTTTTGAGGTCTCCAAACTAGTACGGCATCCTTAGAAAGAAACGACCCCTAAAAGGGAGCCTGATTTAGAGAATTACCCATATTCTTCCTGAGGGCTCCTTTCTATTGTGCATCTTTCAATGTCGTATAATGTACCGGAACACCTTGTTCTAAGTACTGACGCGAGCGGAATAGGCTAAAGCTGACCCTGTCCGAGGAAGAAGATTAAGATGAGACGGAGGATGACAGAGATGTGTTTTGGTGAGGGGCTCGTAATTTATTGGGCTTCATTATAAGTGGATTTCCGTGGTGATGATAACACGTCGCGGCTATCGCGACTGCGCGGGAATCTGGGGGAGGATTCTCGAGCCCTGTCGGCTGCTGCAGCTCAACAGCATCAGAATCAACAAGAGCAAACAGCACGAGCGAAAAGGGTCCTCAAGTACATGTAATTATTGGGGTGACTTACCTATATTAACTCCTACGACAGAAGCCCCTGCTTCCTACCCTCTGGATACTTAGGACAAGGTGTGGAGAACAGCTGCTTTCCTACATCATAGGAAGCTTGAGCCAGCCAGACCTTGCGACAGCTGGCGAGGTTCGGCATCATAAGGTGTAAAGGCTGGTACTGGAGACTTCTCGACGGAATACGGTGATGACAAGCAAGATGAAACGAACATGAACACGAAGGTGACCATTCCGATGTTCCGTCGAAAGCCTTGCGCACACCCGAAGAGAGAGTCCACAGCATTCCCGGAAGTGAGCCATGAAAGCCACACCCCTAACCCACCCCTAACCTCCCGCCCCAAAGCAAGAGCAGCAACAGCAGCAGCAGAAACAACAACAACAACAATAGCAGCAACAGCCAACAAATACAAGTACAATCTACGCACGCCGTCAAACCAAACAGAAACAGAGTCAACATCACAACGGATTCGCCCCAAGAGCAACAGTGAACAGCAATTAACATATCGAAGCCCCTTATACCCCAAACAAAGCCCTAAATGTTAAACCCTCTACCCGCAAACCCGAAACCCCAAGCCCAAAAATCCTCACCATATAACCCTAAACCTTTCCCCAGGAAGTCGTTGGAGCTGATGATGGAAGCTGAAGAGCTACCGACCTGGGAATACGTCTACCAGGGGGTCGGGCGCCTGCTCCCGGGGCTACAGTTTAGGGGTTGGGGGGCTCAGGGTTAGGGGTTTGGGGTTTAGGGCTTGGGGTTTAGGGGTTTAGGGGTTATAGGTTTAGGGACCCTAAACCCAAAACCCTGAACCCTAAACCCTAACACCTATTGGGTGAGGTTTTTTCTCATGGCTTCAGGGATTGCCCGTTTCTGGGCCAGGGTTTCGGGGGTTTGGGTTCAGGGATTTTGTTAAGGGTTTGGGCCCTGCCAGGGTGTGGGCTTCAGGGTTTAGGGTATACCCTAAACCCTAAACCCTATAAGTCTTAAGTTAAGTGGCTTAGATTTAAGATTGCTCAAAGGGTTTGTGAGGGCTGAAGGGTTCGGGTACTTAGAGGTATTTTTAGGGTTCAAGGGTGTGTCAATTAGTGTTTAAAGGTATCTCAATTAGGGTTCAAGGGTGTTTAAGACGAGTGTTTAAGGGTGTTTCAATTAGGTGGTGGGGTTTAAGTCCTGCTTTTGCTTTTTGTTTTTTCTGTGTGAGTGGTTAGGCTTCCGGGGTTCCTTGGAGGCTTCTGACAACGATTCGTTTCCGACATGGGGTCTTTGGGTTTAGGGTTTAGGGGTCTATGGGGACCTAGGCCGTTGTTTAGGCTTTAGGGTTTTGGATATGTTGAGTTTTGATTTTGGGCTCTCGGGTGCATGGCTGTTTCGTTGTTGATCTTCTCCTTTACAAGCCTCCACGCATGTTCAACTCTGTGAAGGCCGACCCCGTACCCCAAATAGGTCTGAAGCCTCAAGCCCTAAGCCCGAGAGCATCCTAAATCTAAGCAAGAACCGACGGGTTTAGGGTTTAGGGCACTCCGGGAAATCGTCCTAACTCAGGTGTTTTTGTTTGCCACGGGTGTTATGCCAGGCGGTCGCATGATGGAGTTTTTCTGTGCTTGTGTTGAAGGCTTCCCCAGAAGAACGGGGGGAAGGGCTTAACCAAGGCATATGCACGGCTACCTAGACAGTGACCAGGAGTTGGTAGCCACTTCGTGGCTCAAGTGAGGGACGGAAGAGCCCGCCTTATCCTCTTATATCCGCTTCTGCAACGGTCTTAGAGTTGCTGTTTTAAGCCCCCCCCACCCCCCCCC